AAAAATGTTATGTGTTGCATGACGGTAAGTTCGGGTGTTAACACTCGAAGCTAGGCCGCTATTTATTATCAATTGTTGTGTTAATTGATGATTATGATAAATGAATATTATGGATGATTATGAGTATTGAACCTACTGATTAAAATAAGTATTTATGATTGAATCATGAATAAAATGAATACATTTATAATTATGAAATGATTTGTAGTGTTAAGGGTATCTAGAAGAACTCTAAGGTATACACATTCAGAAAATTGATGTTAAGGCTATCTAGAAGACCTCTAGAATAGATCTCATATTAGTATGGATTTGTGAAACATGAATATTCGATGAATTAGATAAAAATGTATAAACGGGATTCATAGACAAAGCTAGAGGATTACTCGTTTGGAAATGCCCGATCCAATGTTGATCAATCGCTATATTGTCGTTGCCTTAACTGACTACAGTTAAGTGTCCGAAATCATTTGCCTTAAACTAATGATAGTTTAAGTGTCTGATTGCCCTAACTGACTACAGTTAAGTGTCCGAAATCAATTGCCTTAAACTTATGATAGTTTAAGTGTCTGATCAATAATTGCCTTAAAAGAATCTGGTTATGGAAGTTATGATTTGGCCTTAGACTAAGAATAGCTAAGAGCATTATTATGATTTGGCCTTAGACTAAGAATAGCTAAGAGCATTATTATGATTTGGCCTTAGACTAAGAATAGCTAAGAGCATTATTATGATCTGGCCTTAGACTAAGAATAGCTAAGAGCGTTGTTATGATCTGGCCTTAGATTAAGAATAATTTAAGAGCACTATTGAAATAGTATTTGAATTGAACAAAATGTATTGATATGAACTGAGCAATACCAAAACTGTGAATGTCTAAAATGAACATTGTGTGCATGATATCAAATGATTTGATTATGAATTTAGATTCAGTTTATGTGGATGTTCGATGCATTAGATATGCTTACTCAGCTATACCGCTAAGCGTGTAGTGTGTTTTATTTGCTACAGGCAGGTAAGCAGAAAGCACAATGTGATCTTGGCGGCAGATGGGGCGAGATTGTCGCGATGGATGTGACAAGTTTGAAATGATTTATGATATGTCAAAATTAAATTCGCTTCCGCAATATTGTTGAATACTCCGTACTGTTTATGATATGAAAAAATATTGTTGTGATAAATAAAAGTGTTTGAAATGTTTTAAATTTTTACGATTACCAAGTTAATACTTTAGTCCGAAAGGGGCTGCAGACGTGGACGGATTAGGGTGTTACAAATGTGATGTGGGAGATTGGTGGTTGGGGGGTGATTCATTCGGCCCACTCAAGGGACAAAGGAGAGTGAGTGATGTAGGTGTTTTTGGCTTGGTTTGGTTAGGGAAGATGTTGTGGTTATAGGGTCAAAAGTGTAGGAAATTCCATTGTTGTTTTGTGCCTTGGAATTCGGCGCCTATAGAGGACAAGGGAGGGCCACATGTTGTTGGATGTTGGGTGAAGGAAAGGGGCTGTTTTGGCTTGGTGTGTTTCGGCCAAGCTAGGGGAAAGACTTATGACTTTAGGGAGAAAGGTGTAATATTGATGGGGTGAACTAAGTAGGGTCATATGGTGGGTTGGTTTTCGGTCAAAGGAAAGAAAAATAAGGCTAAGGTTTTATGGGTTTATTTTTGGATTTTGGTTTGGTTTTGGTGCATGTCATTCGGCCATTTAAGGTAAGGATGGGTCCATGGTTAAAAGGGTTGGGTTGTATGGCTTGGTAGTGATGAATTCATTCCAGAAAGGATCATAACTTTTAGACATTATTCCGTTGATTTGTTTAATGACTTCGGGTTTTGTAGTGGTGCTCGAGGATATATCATCTAGGCTTGGGTTGGACGGAGTGGGGGTTGGCTAGCGGAACCCTTAGGTCAAAACGAAAGTTATTTTGGCCTTTCGGGCTAAAGGACTTTGAATTCTCACTAAAATGGATCATAATGTTTCAACCTAAGTCCTTTGGTTTTCATGATGGTGTGGGATATGGGGGAGGGTATGATAGGGTCGGGCCTAGATATATCACCGGAGCTTAGATATATCGGTACGAAATAGGATTGCTTTAGGGATAGTAGGGATTTTGGTGTTGACGGATAAAGGATAAATTTCTTAGCATTCACAACGAATGAGTATGTGTTAGCAAACCCGTCATAGATAACTCTTCGATCGAATAACCATGGCCTCCCAAGAAGGAGATGACAAGCTTTCATGGGGATAATGTCACACCAAACTTCATCTTGATAAGACTGGCCCATTATAAAAGAAATCAAGCTACGTGTATTCACATGTACTCCTTCATCAAGATTCAACCATTGAATCTCATAAGGCTCCGGGTGCGGCAACGTCTCTAGATTGAGTTTTTCCACCGTTGTTCTGGAGATAACATTGGCACTGCTTCCACTATCGATGATCATCGAACACACCTTTTTTTGAATGGTGCATCGAGTATGAAAAATACTCTCTCGGTGTGTGGAATTATCCTAGGCAGCCGCATGACTAATGGTCTTTTGAATGACCAAAAGTTCATCTCCATCGGGGCCGATGATTTCTTCTTCTTTGTTCCGCTCTCCTTGAACCCAAAATGGATGGTAAAAATGAGAAGAATCGTGCTCTATTTATAGAAACGAATCCAAGGCGTCCATGTCCAAGCATCCAGATCTGGACGCCTGAGCTGTTCCGGCCAACCAGATTTTGCCACGTGTCATTCTTGGGCTGCAATTAAGCCAAAGCGTCCAACTCCCAAGCGTCCAAGATGGACGCCTTGAGGCCTTGGTCCGTTGGGCTTCGCGGCTGTTTTGTGATTTTGGCCCAATTTCGCTCCGTTTTGGTCCCGAACACTGTTTTTGACCTCCGGAAGCTCGTTCAAGCCCGAATCTTGATCCCTTGATGATTTATTCCCTTTTTCTCAAGTATTTGAACATAAAATGGATGATTTATGATAATTTCATGCGGAATCCCTTTTTATGACTCTTAGAACGAAAATGAGAGTGTGATTTATTGAAATCACATTTTATAAGATGATTAAATACTATTTACGTGAAATAACGTTTAGAATATGATGTAAATGATAAGAACAAAACGGACTTATCAGGGGTGGAACATGAGACTTACTTATATGGCTGGAAATGGGGATTCTTTTGTGGTGAGTTATGCACGACCAAGGTGGGGGAGCAAGGAAGGGGGAATATGGCAGGCCTTTTGGCTTCACATGAGTTGGGTTTTCTTGATGAATACTTCGAGCCTGAGGAACTTCCGAGTTTGAGGACAAACTCTTCTGAAGAAGGGGAGGATGATATACCCCAGACTACCAACAACGATCCTCAAGTCCTTAAACAAATCTGTGGAAAAATGTCCAAATGTTTTAATCCTTTTTGAAGTTTGAGGACAAATTCTTCTGAAGAAGGGGAGGATGATATACCCCCGACTACCAACAACGATCCTCAAGTCCTTAAACAAATATGTGGAATAATTTCCAAATGTTTTAATCCTTTTTGGAGTTAATACATCACCCATAAACCATACAACCCGACCCTGGTCCTGTTGGACCTTCCCCAACCTTGATGGCCTAAAATACCACCCCCCCAAATATCCAAATCAAACCCAAGTCATTCCCCCTTTTTTCCTCTACCCTGGCCGAACCCACACACCCCCACAACACCCCATCACATTTCAAACCACATGCTAAAACCACAAATCATTTTCTTTCCCCTTGTAAGGCCGAAAACTAGGAGCCAAAACCCAACCCATTATTTCCCCAACATGTACTAGCAGTGGTCCCCTTTATGTTCCCCAACTAAGCTGAATAAACAACCATGGGCTGATATCTTTGATATTGAATGTAGCCGATACTCTGTAGTCTCCCGGAAGGTTGATCTTGTAGGCATTGTCATTGATCTTCTCTAGGATTTCGAATGGGCCATCAGCCCTCGGTAACAGCTTGGATTTGCGTTTGGTGGGAAAACGCTCTTTTCTAATATGAATCCATACCAAGTCTCCCAGTTGGAAACTCGTGTTCTTTCTCCTTTTGTTGATTCGGGTGCTGACTTGCTCGTTCATTGCTTCAATCTTGTCTCGGACCTTGTTGTGAAGGTCTTGAATCTCCTTTGATCTCTTGTCCGCTTCCCAACTGTATTTGGTCTCCGTCATGATAGGGTCAAGCTCAAGCGGGGGTCAAGGGGTTTGAACCATATACAATCGTAGAAGGGGACAGACTGGTCATCTTTCTCGGGGTGCGATTGTCGGCAAATTCAGCATGTGGTAGTAGCTCTTCCCATTGTTTAATTTTCTTCTTTATGAGTGCTCGGAGAAGGGTTCGGAGAGTCTGGTTGGTGACTTCAGTTTGTCCATCGGTTTGGGGGTGGCTTGACGTACTAAACTTGAGTTTAGTACCCAACTTTCTCCACAGGGTCATCCAAAAATGGCGAAGGAATTTCGTATCCCTACTGAGACCATGCTTCGGGGAACGCCATGGAGTTTCACAATCTCTCGGAAGTAGAGATCAGCCACTTGGGATGCATCATAAGTTGTCACACATGGTACAAAATGAGCCATTTTTGAAAAACGATCCACCACGACCATAATGGAATCCTTGCCACGTTGTGTCCTTGGCAGTCCTGTAAGGAAGTCTAGGCTCACGTCTTCCCATAGAGCAAAAGGCACGGGCAGGGGTAGGTGTCTTCCTTGAGGCAGCGAATGGCTCTTGGCAAGGTGGCAAGCGTTGCATCGTTTCACAAAGTGTTCTACGTCCCGCTCCATCTTTGGCCAGTAGTAGTTCTCTCTCATCATCATGTGGGTTTTGTCAACCCCATAATGACCAACCAGGCCTCCTCCGTGGACCTCGTCGATAAGGGTTTCGCGAACGCTGCATTTCGGGACGCATAGTTGATTACCACGGAAAAGATATCCGTCTTTGATAAGAAATTCACCATAGGGCCGAGATAAACACTTAGAATAAGTGTCCTTGAAATCTTCATCCTCCTTGTAAAGCTCCTACAAACACTCAAAACCTACAAGTTTGGTACTAAGTACCGTTAGTAATAAATGTCGTCGGGACAAGGCATCGGCGCCCTTGTTCATGGTTCCATTTTTATCCTTGATGGTGAAGGTGAAGGTTTGGATGTATTCAACCCATATAGCATGTCGGGGTCGGAGTTTGTGTTGCCCTTGGATGTACTTTAAAGCCTCATGATCAGAATGCAAAATGAACTCCTTGCTTATGAGATAATGACGCCAATGTTCAAGTGACCGCACTAGTGCGTAAAACTCCTTGTCATAAGTGGAATACCTCCTTCTTGTGCCGTTTAGCTTTTTGCTAAAGTACGACACTGGGTGTCCTTCTTGGGTTAGCACAGCCCCTATGCGTACTCCGGAGGCATCGCATTCGACTTCGAATAACTTGTAGAAGCTAGGTAGGGCCAACACGGGGGCATGTGTTAGTCTCTCATTAATCGCCTCGAATGCTTGTTGTGCCTTGGGATTCCACTCAAACTTCTGATTTTTTGTCAAATCGGTGATGGGCGCCGTGAGAGTGCTAAAATCTTTCACAAATCTCTGGTAAAACGAGGCTAACCCATGGATGCTTTGGACTTGCTGCATAGTAGTGTGGGTCAGCCAATCCTTAATGGCTTGGGTCTTATTTTCATCAACCTTGATTCCTTCACTTGAGATAAAGTATCCCAAGAACTCCGTCTCTTGAATAAAGAATTGGCTCTTTTCGAGATTTCCGTATAGCTTCTCGTCGTCTAACTTCTTAATCACCAAAGTGAGGTGAATCACGTGCTCTTCTTCGCTTTTGCTATAGATCAGAAAGTCGTCAAAGTAGACAACGACAAAATGACCTATGAATGGCTTCAAAACTTGATTCATAAGTCTCATGAATGTACTCGGAGTGTTTGTTAACCCGAATGGCATGACCAGCCACTTGTATAGTCCGAGCTTTGTCTTGAACGCCGTTTTCCACTCGTCTCCTTCAAAGATACGGATTTGATGGTAGCCACTCCTAAGATCATGTTGTATCCCCTAGTACTACACCTGACCCTCAAGTCCTTAAACAAATCAGTGGAATCATGTCTAAATGTTACGATCCTTTCTGGAATGAATTCTCCAACCCCAAACCATATTACTTAACCATGACAACCTTGAACCTATCTCCTCCCTAAAAGAGCCGTATACCCTGCCCCAAAACCAAACCTAAAACCCAAAAACAAACTACAAACCCCAACCTCTTTTTCCTTCCCCTTGGTCGAGACTACCCCACTCCATATCCTACTTGAGTCACTCCATCAATGTAACACATTTTGTGCCAAAAAACCATATCACGCAATAAGTCATTTTCCCCTTTCATTTCCCTAAGCTAGGACCGAAACACACCAAGCCAACCCACCATATTTAATCACCCAACATCCCACAAACATTGTCCCCTTCTTGTCCCCTAGTACAGCCAAAATAACAAGCACAACAAGCCAAGGGATATTTGTGATTACTTTGACCTTTAAACCACCATATAAACCACCATATAAAGGCCATATTTCTCACACCCCACTGCCCCCCACTATGGCCGAATAAATCACCCCCCAACAACCAAAATATTCACCTCACTAGCCAAGCCAAAATACCCAACACATCACCCATCCCTTTTTCCCTCTAATATGGCCAAAACCCCCCTTCAATTCATGAATATTCATTCATGAACCCTTGTCCCCATTTTTCCTGATTTTATTCCATGAATGGACTCAAGAACGTGGCTGTGAAAGGTAACCATGCAAGGATAGGCAGCGGAATACAAATATTTTAACATCCTAACATGATTATCTTGCCCAGAATCACGTACTAAAACTTATAGTAAATAAGAAAGTTATACCTTTCTCCGTAAGCGGTAAAAACGAAGAGGTCGTAGGAAGAGCGTTGAAAGTGCAAACGTAACCGTTCAAGCGTCCGGTCTCCAACTTTGACACACGAACAACACCGGAGTCTACCACAATCTTTATGCTAGTAAAGATTATAGTAGTATAAAATATAAAGATTAAAATTTGGGATAATAATAATCTTGTATATTTCTATAGAAAATATTTCTAATAATATTTAGAAAATATTATAGATATTATCTATACACAAAATGATATTAATGGAAGACTTAAAATAATTTTCTCTCACTAGAATCTCAAATGGCCGAAAATCATAAAAACTCCTTTTTACAAAATGGAGTGAATTGTTTAAATAAAACAAAGATGCTCCATTATTTTTGTCATTAGCTAAATGACAAAATTAATTAGTCCACTAATTTATCAATCAAGCAAAACATTAGCAATTTGTCAATCCATTTTATCATATGGCCGAATGAATGATATGAGAAGGATTTTCAAAATTCTTCTCCACTCAAATGTTCAAAGTGTATTTTATTTGACACCAAAAATTAATATAAAATTAATTTTAAATCAAATAAAA